ATATCAACCGCCGTGTTCTCAATCCTCTTCTATACACCTTCGCCATTTTGCAACAAAATTTGAATTTGGTAATCAAGTTATTATGTTAATCACCAGTTGACCCACATGCATGGCAGCCAATGGTGCTAACCTAGATTCCTTCATATATTTCTCTCACGATTTAGTTCTTTTGCTTAACAGTCAACCTAATGAAAAAAGGTTGCCAAGATTTTAAGTAGCTTCTGAACAAAAGGTTACTTTACTATTCCTTACTGACTGAAATGATGGTGAAAATATTTAATCATATCTAATAAATATCATCATGCTAATCGACTCAAGAACAAAAATATAAATAGCTTTATATTTCAACTACCACATCAAACGGTTTGTCATCTAAATCTTGCGGGGCTATAGAACTGAGTAGCGTTTCGTAACTTAATTTTAAATCAAGTTCAAGAATGGGCTATTCTTAGCTGTCCACCTGCAGATATTGTAGAGTGAATTGTAAGGCGTGTTAAAGACTCAGTAATGACAGGTCGATGATCCTGCCAGCTTTTAGATTCCACAGGCGGCTCCTATGAAAATGGCTGCGAGATGAGATATAATTTTCTGCAGGATGAGTTGAGATGTTCCCAGCAGGTACAGCAGGCAACACACGCGGGGGGAATTCTTAGCGTCTGTACAAAGTCGGCAGAAGGTCACACATCTACAAAACACATCGTGCTACTGTTCCTGTTGTATTTTTGTGTTGATTGTTTATTCACATTTCCTTTTTTGCGTCAGGCTCAATTCCCATATCGTATACAAGCCCTCGTATCAATATTTACCTTACGTAGTTTACAGTGTCTCATAGGGGTCCAAGTCGTGAGGCGAAGAAGGGACATCGGTCATTACGACATGCTTGCCGCCCATTTTGCACCATTCCCGAAACAATTGGCTGCCGTACACTTGTTAATCGCTAGACGTCACTTCTGGTCTATCTACCCCCGTCCGGTAGTAGTTCTCCATCAACTGCTATTACTCATCAGACTTATCCACCGCGTACCAACATCAACACCAACAAGAAACTACTAACTAATATATCACAGTTCTACTATTGCTGTTATAGCCCTATGGTCTAACTCATTTGTCGCTCTATTGTAGTTACACCAGAACGGTATCAAGACCATGTGAGAATCATCGTTCGTTACGTACAGTACGAAAAAAAGACGTTATATGATAAATATCATTTCCTCATCCTTCTTAGAAAGTCAAGCCTCCCAAAGCATTGCATAAAACAAGCCAAACTCCAAGTTGTGATACATGCGATCCACAGTTCGGCTGAATAAAGCCCGTAAGGTTACAGGTGCCAAAAGCTCAATCATCGCTACTTGGCTGCACACGGTATTGTGTCATGGCTCTTGCTAGTGTCAGGTTAGACACGGCAGAAATTGAGGCCATATGGTCTCCACAGTAAGTAATTAACGTGTTCGATCCTCCACTTTCAACTGGACCAATTGTCAAGTTCTCGGGCGCCGATCTTTCTTGTTTTCGCCTTTTCAAATCCCCGGTGTCGATTACCTTGGCAGCCGTGTGGAGAACAATCAATTGTAGTTCATAGCGCCAACGTTAATCATAACATGGCCTGGTAGCTAATAACAGCAGAGTCAAGAGTGAACAATATGTCTTACATGCGCCGGGAAAATAGCCACCCAATATAACATTAACATCGCGATGTCAGCAAGCGGTTAAATAGATGAGTCATATACCTTACGCAACGGATAATTCCTTACGTAAAGTCTGCAACTTAACTCATTTTGCAGATTAATCACATCAGAAGTTTAATCAGAAACTGTGCCAAAGTCATTTCCAACCTACGCAAGATTATCACAGGCCAGGAATAACTCTGGAAAATGATTCTATCCGTAATAGTTCCGATGGTGTGTCGTCCTTATCTAATGCTGCACATGGCTGTCTGAAACCTCGGCAATCGTTTACATTAAACATGATTAAACGGTTGGTTTGGTTCTGAGCTCGATTGAAATCACAAATCAAATAGTTTCCTCGTCGGCACGACCTACAGAAATAGTTAAGGTGGTCATACTGATTACTTATGCAGAACCATCCGGATCCCGCATCTGTAGATGGGGCTATCTCTACACGCGCGCAAGTACCTGTTGAATTAGGGATCTGCCGATAGGTTTGCAGAGAGGGCTTACTATAGTATAGATACGGCAAAACGCACTGTTTTTAAAGAACGTTACAATCTTCTCTTCCAGTATCTGCTTGGATATTTAGTCCAGCCGTTCTCTCAGGGACACTCAGATCTCATTCTCTGTGTGCAGAATTGTGTTTCCTGTCCCGACACACACCCCTTGTGAGACTGTCTCCACCCCTGGTACCATGGGTACTAGCCGTGGACGACTCTGGTACCCTTTTTGCATGATAATGCCGGGACAGAGTCGTGGTGCAATGCATAGGCCAAAACCAACCTTTGCCGTGCCGGGCCTCATGCAACAGGCCGGCCCCGGTTTTTTGGTGTCGCTGGCTTCCTAACGCACTCACCTGCCGGGCCGGGGGGATAAGACCCTAAACAAACGCAGCATTTAACCACAACACGGCCTCGGAGCACGTAACTCCATACAAACCATCGGCGATCGGCGCCATTTTGAATTCAGGAATAGGCCCGCAAAACAGGTCGGACCCTGATTTTACGACAGATTACGTCGTTATTTTCAACTCTCCAACATTCAAGCTGCAAGTATCATGACGTAATCTGTCGTAAACTCAGGGTCCGACCTGTTTTGCGGGCCTATTCCTGAATTCAAAATGGCGCCGATCGCCGATGGTTTGTATGGAGTTACGTGCTCCGAGGCCGTGTTGTGGTTAAATGCTGCGTTTGTTTAGGGTCTTATCCCCCCGGCCCGGCAGGTGAGTGCGTTAGGAAGCCAGCGACACCAAAAAACCGGGGCCGGCCTGTTGCATGAGGCCCGGCACGGCAAAGGTTGGTTTTGGCCTATGCATTGCACCACGACTCTGTCCCGGCATTATCATGCAAAAAGGGTACCAGAGTCGTCCACGGCTACATGGGTACATGATTACGCCCAATGAGTGACACAGCACTGCCGCCGCCGCCCGTCTCCATCCGCACTGAGGGAGTACTTCACAGTATTGACCCACCAACTGGAGAAGTAAACATCACTAATTCAATCATCTGCCACTGCAAAATAGAGCATTCCTCCTTCAATTACCCCTCACATCGGGCACTCATTACGGCAGATTGCTCTGAATAACCTGCTCTGCTCGCTATAATCGATATGAAATGTACCCAGGGACTGGGTTGTCACACGTCATAAAAATAAGTGTCAGTAATGGGAAGAATCTCAGATGAATTGCCCAGACGGGAATATCGCAACCCAGTTCCCTGTTCTAAATGTACACGTCGGCTTTAGAAGGAAATAGCCACAATAGAATTGAAGAATAACATCAAAGAGCTTTATTAATTTTTATTCATTATATTTCGTATATACAACATTAAGTAGCGCATTTATTTCTGTGTAAGCATTGAGTTGTCTATCGGTATATTTATATTTATAGTTATAGTACAGGTATAGTTAGATGGTGTGTTCTTCAGAAGGGCGGTGATACTGATAAACCAACCAACCAACCAACCAACCAACCAACCAACCAACCAACCAACCAACCAACCAACCAACCAACCAACCAACCAACCGACCAACCAACCAACCAATACATATCTGTGGTCAAGTTTTCATTCAGCTAAAGTACGAGTTCTGAATATGTTTACACAGAACGGTAAAACCCGAGCTACAATCTGTTTGACCGATTGGTGTCACGTCTATCGTGTTACAGATCCGTTAGAGCACGGTCACACACGTCGTAGGATCATCGGCCGTACGAACTGCAAACCGAGGTTATTCTTGGGTTAGTCGTGCCCGTGTCCAGCAAAATTCGGCTGTTTTGTGACGGAAAAGGCTGACTTGGATCCCTGTCAGCGGTAGGTTCTGTCAGAGCCTGCTTGAAAATCCTACGGTACGACCACCTACGACGAATGTGACTTCATCGATTTCACATTTTTTTTATTTATTACAACATTTAATGACAAAACAAGATGACTACATACTCAAGCTCATGGCTTATGTTCGTGTCGTCATCGAACCAAAGAACATTTGTTTCATTGTTTCAATAAATCGTGACATTTGCTGTGTCAGGTAAAATCCTTGTTCCCGGTGAATCGTCCCCCAGTAAAACGCACCATGCATGGAAACATCCTATTTACATTACGATTTTAAACCAGAGTTATAAGACTAATATATACACACGTTTCTATATCTTGGGATAGCATAGGTAGTGACATTCTAAAGCACATTGTAAGTGTCGGTTTAGAAAGGCACGATGCTTCATGTCTGCAGCACAATAGGCCACTGCAGTTTCCATGTCTTTGACAAATTATAAAAGATAACAGTGGAGAAGTCGATATCCACATTAGACTACGTGATGTATAGCTTAATTATGAATGTATCCAATTATATATATTATCCAATAGGTTGATGGATGTACATTAAGGCGAAGCGCCCTAGACCTTTTGACAATGAACTACATGTATATACAATGTTATTTACAAATTTAACCCTCCATTGCTTTATCATATAAAACTATATCATAATATGATAGCAACTCGAACTATACATTTTCTCTCCATTGGACTGTTTTCCTCCATTGCACGAGTAAGTTGAATCCCAAAAGCATCTACTACGAGCGGCTATCAAATGGCGCACCCCTTGGTTGTGTACTTCTTGCCTGAAACGGGAGCCGTGTCATGGCGAAATAAAGTCGGCATTGCCGTAACAGCTAGGATATTTTGTCAAGGAGTTTAAGCACACAGTACGCGTTGTACCAAGCTCCAGTCAGAAATTTTTTTTTTGGGGGGGGGGTCGTCCTGCCTGCCAAAACTGGCCACAGTCACAGATCTTCCTCCCTCGACTAGATGAAGCAAAATTGTCTACAATATCTTAAAGCCAGCAAATATGTTTTCAACCACCATGTCCGAGTGAGAATCATCCCATTTCGGTCTTGATCCCATGACCCTATATAACATTAACATTCCTTTGACATGCGGACCTAGCAGGCCTGAATAGGACATCTAACGTCATAACGCTTGCAAAAATAACTCACCTGACTGTGCGTTAGACTAAAGCCTACCCACCACCGAAAAATTCTAGAAGCCCTAAGAAAACCCGCATGCCATGTGTGGAGGCGTGGACTACACGTATACCTCCTACCAGTACGCGTGGGTTAAGCTGGTCCACAGTGTTCTCAGAGCAGAGAAGCAAGCCAACTCGCGAACGACTATTTCCCCTCGGCTTTGGTCTTACCGACTTTGGTCTTACCAGTGCTCAAAGGTTTATCCTGCAATCATCCAGGTTTGTTGCTCGTATTGCTCGCAAAGCTGACGAGGCAGGCCCCGGCTACTAATATATACATAATGAGGAAGATTCTGTCCAACACTTTGGCAAGACTTCTCCACTCTTTCTCATACGCCCTGTGCCTCTGGTGATGCCGCATAATGTCCACCACGTCGTTGACCTTTCTCTCGATGTCGTGCAGCGTGTTGGTCATCTTGATCTGGAACGCGTACCAGTCCACCAGTTTGACGTCCTTGTGCAGGCCGCAGTGTACGCCGCTGTTGTTGGCGTACAGGCTGTCGGTAAGGTCCGAGATGTCGTTCACCAGCTCTATCTTGGAGGAGGACTCGTCCGTCTCGAGGGTGCGCAGGTTCTTGGACAGGTCCCCCATCAGCAGGGCCTTGGCGAGCCGCTTCAGCATCACCTCACGGACCCACTTGGGCAGGGGCTCCACCGACACCGTGCAGTCACACACGTGCATGACGAAGATCGTCATCGCCAGGGAGAAGGACATCAGGATCATCGTGATGATGACGTACCGACCTGGATAGGGAGAAGGGATGGCGTTAGTGGCAGAACTGTCATAAAGACTATTCCATAAAATCAAGTGATAGAGATGCACAAATAATGCTGCATGGCCAATCTGTGGTCTTTACAACATAGTCAGAGACAGTCTGACGCTGACAGCTATAAAATTGTAAAAGACAAGCTAGACAATAATCCAGGCAGCTGCGTAATGCTTTTGTAAGCTACATATGTACTTGAAAACTCTATCGGAGTTTCTTGGACCTATCAATGTCCGCGTGAACTGATGCATACCGATCCAGGGAAGCTTGTCTGATTCCGGTAGAACCTCTGTGATGACGAGCTGGAAGACGACCATGGACAGGAGTAAGGACACGCCGAAGGACAGCCTCTCGCCGGAGTTGATGGGCAGGAAGAACGTCACAGCCATGATGAACGTCAGCAGGAGACACGGTAACAGCAGGTTAAACACGTAGAACGTCGACTTCCTCTGCAGCCCGAGGGTAAACGTCACGTCAGCGTACGGAGTTTCGATGTTGAAGTCTTCCCCGTACCAGATCATGTTGGCGGTCGCTTTGAAAGACAAGACTCGCCACTCGGGGTGTTCTATAAACCCCTCCAGACTCCCGTCCTCAGCCATGGCGCGCATGGTCAGCTCGAAGCCGCTGTGGATCCAGGGGCCGAACTTGAGCTGACAGTTCTGAGTGTCGAACGGGAAGTTGGAGACGTCCAGGTGGCAGGACGACACGATGACGGCCGGGATCTCCCACAGCAGGTAGCCGTTACTGTGCACCTTCACGTACGTCTCACGGTGCGACCAGCCGTCAAAGTACGGATCAACACTGGAGGGAGGAGGGCGCAAAGAGGAAGACGGTGCACATCAATAGTCCAAGTCCAAGCAAAATATGATGTTTGATACAAATAAATACCCTCAAGTATCGTGATTCCTTGCGTTGATACCGTTCGTAATACTTTATGAAATCAATATGCTGGTACATATCATAGTCTTTATTAGACTGACTATATGTGCATAGCGTTGACATGACATTTCATGACATCAGAAGAGGCTGTTAGTAAACTGTATAAGCCGGCTTACTTCTGGTACAGCACGATGTCGGGCATCCAGACCTTCTGAGAAGGAACGGTGATCGTCTTGAAACTGCCAAACTCTTCTGGGTCCCACTGAAGATGGGTGTCATTCCAGCCCTGGGAAACCATGTATAAGGTGTCATGCATAACCGTATGTGCAACGTGCTTACCAATTTAATAGTATATAGAAATGAGTATCACAGACACTGTGTATCAACATATAGAACTGACATCGTAGAAGCGAGTTCCTGTTTTGAAAGTCCAGTGTACAAACAGTTGTGTTTATAATCACAATGCCCAAAGTAAAACTTGTAATTCATAAAATGATAGCCGCAAGTTAATCGACAAGAAACTGTATGTCAAAACACAACTGCGCCCTCTATGCCCTGGACAATAAACATGTTTGAATTGCCTGTGATAAATGAATGTGAGAACCTGATATTTATAGAAATCCACCCAAACTATTGTGAATTGCTGCGATGTCCTGAGACTGTACGTGTGATAGCCAGGCCGTGGGAAATAGACCTTAACAGGTGAAAGGTTTGACAGAACAGGCAGATGTTCATAGTGATGAAAATATTTCTGGCTAAAGTCCAGCAGAAAACACTGAACTACTATTATTATTCAGAACAAGCTACATGAAAACTATCCAAGCTATTATGTGCATTAGAACATGTATCAGAACACACACAGGATACTAATCCATACTAATGTGCGAACTAATACATACTAATTATTCCAGAGAGGACAATTTGTATTCCCAGCAATGAATTAGAAGTCCCTTTTATCAAAACTACCCTGATATGTCTCTGTCTGTGTAATCTTATCAATGCAAAATGACATTGAATTTTCTGGTCAAATTGAATAACCGTGCGGCGTCATCAGCCTGTTATACAACTGTAGACCTTACCATGGTCAGCCATAGGCTGGCTGTCAGGGTTTGGTGCTTCTCGTTCTGGAAAAGATTAAATTGATTGTGTCAGAGACAGGTGATAGATTACTTTTGGAATCCACACTGGAAGCATTGTTCCGGCATGGTTAGGAATTAGCTGGTGCAAAAATACTGGAGTAAGTTTTCCTTTCTGAGTCCCCTACTGTTCCTGTTTCTCCGTCGCCCCAGGTCGTCATTAGAAAGATAAATCGCCTGTGCTCAATAAAAAGACCTTTTATCGTTTCAAAACACTTTAAGACTGTAATACGAATATTTCAGCTCCTTTATCTCTGACTGTCGGTACGGGTCGGCAGAGGTGATGGGTGTGACGTCATCGGCAGTGCCTGAGGCGAAGCACACCCGGCGATGGGTCGGTTTACAGGCAGTAAGGTCCGCGGAGCAACGTGATGGACTGTTATATCATGTATTTATTTGTTGGGCTGTGGATAACAAATCCGGTGGCTATACTTACAAAGATATACCCTTGCTATGAGGGTAATACGGCAGAGGAAGACGGATTCTAACGGCAGCAGGCCTGCTGTAATGCTCGGCAGTACGTCTGGAGTTCTGAAGGTTATTGACCAAGGTAGATATCCACGAAAATGTGATATACTATAGTTATCAGCATATTCGTATTTCCGAATTTCATTGATAAAGAACGACTTTTTTTACGTATTACGTATTTTTTTACATAGTTTGCTGTCTTTTCAATTATGCATAAACATCCTGCACCATATTTACATTATAAGATTAAGGGTACAATTTAATTTTGGTTCACTCCAGTGGAAATGTACCCTTGATGATGCGCCATAGTCTACCTAAAACGATTTCTCTCAAAGCAAAGCTGACACAATATCTCCATACGTTAGACTGATCTGCCAATACCGGTAGTTTCGGTTATGATACCTTTTGACAGGTTTGAGATGTAAATGTGTGATAGTCTGGACCCAGTGTTTGTAGTTATAGCAGCCATCATTTCTCAAGCGTCTCAGAGGTTGGGAACTACCGAGTCGGAAAAAATGTCCTGATGGAATTTTATATTGGCAGTCGGTAAAATAGACGTGGATGCCAACAATAGAGGCTGAGGAATGTGGCGTGAAATAACGCACGTTTGACGAGTCGTGCTGTGGAAAATGAATATTTCCATGAAGGAAATAAAATGTGCCTGTGTGTCCATCAAAGAACGCATTAAGATTCACCTGTGGCAATGCCGCTATTCGTGTGTCATATAGATTTTCAATCGTTTAGTTTAGAAGTGCGAACATTGAGCCAAATGGCTTGATGCTATCAAAGTTAAGCTGGCAGAAATACAGTGTTTGGTGTCATAATCTTTTTTTATTATCATTAAAGCACATAAAAGGAAAAACAAGACAGCGATGGCGGCGCACTCAAGTTAGTAACACTTACATAAGCCATCGAACGAAAATAATTAACAAAGATATTTTTACTACAAAAAATTAAAAATTTCAAGAAACAAATTACAAAGCAGATATATTGTGGACAAATTGAATATAACTAAAAGCGCTGCCCCCCACCCCATGACATCTTAGGAGGGACTTAGAAGTGCAGTGTGCTAAATGTTGTAAATCAAGAGGGCCATATTCACATGCGCATCCCAGACAACGCTAGATAGAGATGAGTACGAAAGGCTTTGTGTCTCGACGATCAGATTCCCGGAGGGATCAAAGTATCTGTGTGTTGTACTTAAACGGCCTTTTCTCTATTCATCACCAAGGATTTTGGGAAATGTGTCAGTAGAAGGAGGTCACACGAGCGTTCACTTTGGAACCCCGCTGTTTTATCGAGCGCCCCACTTTAACCCGACATGTGGTGTTCAGGGCACGGGATTGGTTAAAAGATCACCGGTGTTTGACGTTTGACGAGTTTGTACCAATGATCGATTTAATTACTATGAGGTAATATTTCTATGCTATTCACTGTCGCAAACAAAGAAGTTCTGATAAGGAACTTTTAAACCACCATGAAGGTAAGGCTAGAATGCAGAATAGAACGAATCTACAAGATAATAAAGAATATCGTGATGCAATTATATGTCTATACGTAGACGAAAGCACATTGTTTTTCTAGCAAACATTGTTGTGCTATGTTAATGATATGTGTGTATGTGAGAATGCCTTATTACCATATATATGTCGATGATGTGTGTATATGTGGGAATGCCTTGTCGACGATATGTGTGTATGTGAGAATAATGCCTTACCATGTCGATGATATGTGTGAGGGCGACTCCCATCTCCACAGTCAGGATGTCTGTTGTCTCTGCCACGGGCCGAAGTTCTACATCGTAGTTATCGAACAGGTGGTGGTACAGCAGACTGTCATTCCCTGGAATGTGTGGGACACTCATACACATGAGCTGTACCGATTCTTACACATGAACTGTACCGACTCATACACATGAACTGTACCGACTCATGCACATGGACTGTACCGACTCATACACATGAACTGTACCATAGACTCATAAACATATACACATGAACTGTACTGAAACATACCATGGAGGTAAAAGATCTTCTAACTCCATGGTCATACACATGATGAACTGTATCGACTCTGTCTGATGGTCACACAAGAACATGTGGTTGATGGTTAGCTGGTGTTCGGGGTCAAATTTGACTCAATTTTAACTCAAATTCGATTCAATTCATATAAAAGAGTAGACGTGGCCTAAATCTGGCCAGACTCCCAAACTCCAGCCAACCTTGGATTGGCTTCTGAATGTGTGACAACGGCTTAATGCGCCACTACAGAAACAGTAACCCAAAGTGGCTGTCTTATTTCACACAGATCGTAAAACTGTACGATTTCATTACGTTACGAGGTACATTATTGCTCTAATAGTCTGTATGGGGCCTTGGATACAGTTAAGATTCTCGTAAATTTATTCCTCTATAACGAGGCAACTGTTCAACTATTTACCACGTAATTGATCGTAAAAGTCTTCTGTAGTAAGATTATAAAGAAATAAAGATGTCGACAATGCCTGCGGCTTAAAATTAACTTCGGTTTGAGAATACATTTTGTTGTTGAGAACACGTAGCAATTGTAAAAGACTAAACAGTCAGCCAGTTGATGCTGCACTGAGGATCCTCCCAATTTTCTAAGAGCATGTGAAATTGGTTCCGTAATTTTACTGATCAACAATGACCTGTAAGTACCCCTCCGCTCGCAATTTGCTCAGCGTCTTTTGATTAGACGTCATCAATTTGCCCCGCCGGCGGCATGTCGCTGATTCATATTCTCCTGCAGTAATTGTGCCTAGCGATGCCGTACAGGCTCGGCGTTAAGAGCCATTCATTAAGGATTAAGATCAACCCCTTCACTTAAGAACCCCGGCCGTGCCGCAGGTCATCGCCCTTTGTACTAATCCCTTGTCAGTGAGATCTTTCTAATCCCGGGGCAGGATTACAGTGGAAGACAGATCTATCGCTAGAAACCTTCGAAAGGTCCACGGTTGGCATAAAGCCTGATATGTGAGTTGGTTAAAAGGTCACCCACACAGATAGAGGTAACAAACAGTGACAGACTGTGCGGTATTAGTATTGATCGGAGGATCATCCCGCCTACAGGACGGACCTCCGAGCTGAACCTAATCTAGCCTGAGCCAAGGTGTCAGAAATGACCTTTCCGTAAAGACGTGACGAGGGCGGTACAGAAGATCATCGGTCACTGCCCTGTAAATAATCCTCTTCCATCATTAGGCATTCTGTTCAGAACACGTACACTTGGAACATTAGTGAGAGCACTTGGAACATTAGTGCGATCAAAAGGAACATTACTGATATCTCAGTTTAAGTTTTCGTGCGTTGCTGGTACTTTAAGGCTATAGAATTAAGAATCAGAACGCATGAGGGTGTACATGTTTCAACAGTCGGTTGCTTTAAGCTAGATGGACTGGAAAGTATTTTGATATGTGGTGGTAAGTTGTTCCAAAGGTTGACTGCTCAGTACTGAAATGTTCTCTTTTTACTGTTTGTTTTGGGTTTCGGTAGCATGAAACTGAAAATCTGGTTAAATACACATCATAGTAATCCACACGGCACAGAAACGTCATCCCTCACCACCCGCGGCTCATCACTCTGTACACTGTGCCATCTCGGCATGATGTATGAGACATGGGAAGATTTCATTATGATCATTCGCGTACACAAATTAAACCCACAGAATTAGAGCAAACTGTTACCAAGGTCTAAAGTAATCTTACATAAGCCTCCCGCGCTGTTTTGACAGACAGATCATAGTTATTTCATGTACTCAGAGGTTTTACAGCTCAGTGGTTTGATACATCAAGGCGCCCCGATATTGAGACATCACACAGCAAGTGTTAACAAACAGCTACGCACTGTGCAGGTTGGTAACTTAAAAACTCGCGTGAGTTGTGGTGGTGTTATGTCGGTGCACCTTACAGAATATCCAGTGTTGACATCACACTTTAGAGAACCCACGTGACAAGTCCCACTGGGTCAGTCTATTGAAGAAGACCAGAGTGACTGGTCGAAAGCTCTAGGTGTTGCAACAAAAGTTATTGTTGTTCACTCTAGGTCCTTTATATTACGTCACGCATATTATTTGCATATAATTTGCATTCGCGCAATTATGGCGAAAGATGCACTTTTTGAGTGGGTTTTAACGTAATTTACCGGCTGAATTAGCGCACTCTCAAAATATCTCATTTTGATCACAAGGACAAGAACCACTGGAATCATAAAAAAAGAAGAAATAACAACTTTTGAAATCGATTTCAGACACACTTTAAACAACAAAGATGAACTTTCATGAAAATAAAGGTCTTTCATTCATCCTTTCATGTCAATATTGTTGAGAAACAAGAGAGTGTGTTCTCTCACCCCGTCCGCTGGCCCTGCTGGTGAGGAGCAGCGCCACACAGATGGTCGCCAGGCAGCACAGGGTGGGCTGTCCCATGGCTGGCTTCGTGATTTCTCCGGTTCTATGCGCAGATTATATTCCTGGAAGCAAAATGGATTAAGAACGATTTTTATGCGGCATTATGCAACCTCTGTCAACTACAATAGATTTTACATATTGGCATGCAGGGCTGATCAGATGAATCGTAAAAGTTGTATCTTTCCCACATCCCAACTACATCCAAATTACGCCAGGACTTGGCAACACTCCCCATACGATGATTGTCCCTAGATGCTCCTGTTGAAAGAGAGAGTCAACGAAAGCCAGACAGAATCTCCTTCCTCGCCAGACAGCAGAATGTACTTCTTACTCACGTGGAGTGACTGTAAAATCACCTGCAACGTTGATGAGTTACTTTTTGAGACGTTGCCAATGATTCCTATCAGGCGGCCGCGGTTTGCAGCGGGACACAGGTAATTTACCAGCGGTGTGGCGTGACGGGTGATACCGGTGGCGGTGTGCAGACTTGGCACGACTAGATCATTACTCAACGGTCTGCTCACTAAAACTTTGCAGGTGACCTTCACCGACATCTGCACGTGCCCTGTATTTGATTTCTGATAATGTAAGACATGTTTACAGCAATGTTTGACACTGTTAATGCAGCCAATATTCCATCTTCGGCCCGCAAGAACGTTTAGCTTGGTGAAACTCAAGTCTAACATGCACTTTTGGCGGTGACTCAAAAGACATATCTGGCCCTTTATCTGAACGTTTAATGTCACAGGATGGGGCAGACGACAAAATCATGGAGCGTCGCCAGGAGTGTAATGTTAGGGGCTTGCCCGCACTACAACTCGTAAACTAAGTAATAGCCCGACTGTAAAACTCCTCCCAGTCCATTCCAGATCAGGATTCAGATGTAAGTGCCACACAGATGTATAATAGCACCATTCGAGCAGGTAATTGCCACAGTAAGGCTCGACCTTTGGGCTGGTTATCGCAGGAAAGTTTCGCAGTCATTACATCTCCTCCGGGCCCCTTACTGTTTTAAACCCCTATCCTAACTTCTGTGGCCGGTATTTTCGTTCCGTACGCAGGCTGCGCACACCGCAGGTTGTTTTGTATTCACCAACCGGAGCGATGCAAATGTAATGAGATCAGCGCTAAGAACGTTATGTTGCCGGACCGTGGCGTGAATAGGAAGTGGTCAATAACCATGAGCTGGGTGTGTAAGTGATCTGACCATGGGGGATGTGGAAATCACAGGTAGATGACCTACACACACAGGTATAGTTCATTTACAACGGGCTTGTCTTCTGATGACGGTCATACATAGTGCTTTTGCATCATCAGGTGCTCGATATATCTTATTTTAAAGGACAATTCGTTGTTTTAAAAATTGACATTTTATTGAAACATCAAAAGTACAGAACAATAACATTATCCACCACTGCACAGACTACATGAATCCCAGAATAGTAGCAGGACTAGACTAACTACTACAAAACTTTTACATTGGAAATGGCCAAAATGACTTAACATGGAGGGGAAAAGCTGGGGAAAGTGGTGCAGCAAGGAGAATTCTATTGTTCATTATGAAATGTCATTACGTGACAAGTTCAACAAGTGACTGCAGCAACTAACTAGCAACAGGAGAAGCGTTTCAGAACAGGAAACCAAATTGCACAATGGACACCGTAGCTACAGACCATGAAGTGATGAAGTTGGCGATGTTGAGAGATGGAGCCGGAGTGCCCAGCGTACCCCGTGAGGAGAGGAGGAGGACCCCGGCCGACGGTCCATCCATCCCGCCCGCTGACTGCCCGGGCTTGACGGTTTACCATT